TTCGAGAACGACCAACTGGACATGGCCAAGCCGTTTCTAATGGGACCATTCAATTGCATTGGAAAGGTTTGAGCCCTCGATGCTTTCCTGGATACTTTGGGCTGACGTCAATTTCTAAGGATCTTGCTATGCATGAACTTCGATTGGTTAGTAACATACTCGTTACTTCAACGTACTGTTATTTACAGGCTGGCTGGTCATTCTCCCCAGCAACATATGCTAATTCTGTGTAGCTTTTGGCTTCTCTGTTCCTGAACTTCGATGTCCGATTGACCCATGAATCTTTCGACTGGAATAAAATGAAGGTTTACACATTGTGGCAAAAGAAGCCTCTTTTATGCGAATTGATGTCTGCGAAGACCAAATCCTATATTATAAATTAGATGTTGCTCCGCTCAGCCTTTGCTTTATACTGATGCTAAACATGGTGTATGATACCCATCAGTGACACAGAAGCTGCTGAGTGACAACATCAAGATCCAAGGACTGGTGGCGTGGGGAAAGGCTTGGAAGAGCTATCGGCTTTGACTCTGATAATGAACTTCCAATAACAGTTTTCTTCTATGCTACAATCACTCGATCTGGGATTTACTGCTGGATGAATATGTACCTACGTTACAGCTAGACCCGCTAGACTTAGACTTTTTATTGTGATCTTCTTCTTAACCCTTATGAAGGATGGCAGATTTAAGGTCGAACATCATCCAGACGTAGCCCTTCATGTTTCTCGTCAAAGCTTGAGCATGCACCAGTCAAGATCTCGTCTACCAGTCTACATGGATGACTGGCACAGGTAGCCCCAGAAATGTTATACTTTGGCCACCTTGGGGAACGAAAGGTACGCAGAGCAGTCCTTGTATCTGAGATCCCGTAGCCTATACATGTATGGTCCGACAAAAGCTCCAGTAAATCATGAGAGTACATTTGCTTGGTTAAATGTCCCAGCAGTATCGCAGAACATTCATAGTTGCAGCCGACTGTGCCATTCCGTAACGAGTCAAGAAGATTTTGAAGCTGAGCAACAACCGGACGTATCAGCTGTATCCTCTGAGTTTCGATTGTGTCTGTGATTGTCAATACCCATGTTGGATCGTTTGGCGCAGCATGAAAACATACCGATAAGGAATTGAGGGATGGGCAGCTCGAGCGTGGGAACAGGGCCTTTGCTTTCAAGAATGGCTGTTCTCGTGACTTGGTTGAAGATGTTCTCTTTTGAGAAAACCCAAGACACCAGTATCCACAAAACTAGCTCACGGTTGCACTGGGTAGGAAGGTCGTTTTTGATGCCGTCGATCCACATGTCTCCATACAGTTGAACAGCTTCGTGGCAATCATAGTAGTCAACCAAGGTTGCTATCTTGGCCAACATTTCGAGGTCCACAAAACGTGGAACATGACTGTGCTTTCCGTGTATGATTTGAAAAAGTATCAGCAGAGCATCGACATCCCACTCCGTTGTCTCAATGTGTCGCACCCGCTCAACGGGATCTTTAAGAGATTCTTTCCAAGGGCCTGAAAGTTTCTTGTTGAAGATGGACGAGGCTAACATGAGATGTCGAGAGGAAAGAAGGAACCTGCACGGAAGCGGCTTGCCAAAACCGTCCATGTCGAAAGGGTTGTCGATGTTCAGCAGCTCCGGCGGGAAAATTGACACTTGCTTCGCATCGTCGTACCAGTCAAGATAATACGACGAGTATTTTGCTATGATCGGAAGCTTTTGATCGCTGTAGTATAATCAGTCATTAGAGCATCCTAGCATTTCAAATACAAATAGCATACCATGCGTTTAGGTGCTGTACAACAGCATCTTCAGATTCGTCCCAAACTGCGAACGGCGCATTTGGATTACGTAGAATGAGCTCGACATCGCCGTCGGGATCAAGATGATGCACCTCTTCGCAATGCATACCGAGCAATCAGTCTATTCACAGGCATAGATTTGTAGAGTGAGATACAATCAAGAATCATCTGAATGGGAACAAAGTGGCACTATCTGTTGATATGGATGAGCTTTTTACATACCTACGAGGTAAGCCTGGCAGCATTGGCGGGGATGAACTGCGGGCATGTGCTCAGCCTCAGGTGCCTGAGCACTTGGGTGACAGAATGAACGAACGATTTTTGAGCGCATCTTTTTGCTCTTACTATTTCACTACGCCCAACGTTAGAAAAACAATATTTATTAAAAGTAAATTAATCCTCAGAGAGTAAGGTATCTCCTGAATGTTCTTTAATGCTTTTCTTACCCCTCGTTAGGGAAGTGTAAGTGTTGAAGTTAGGGGTAGCTCAGGAAGCGGTCCTTTTTTTGGTCACCCGAGTGCTGAGATACATCATGAGGCAGTGTCGTTAGCGTTGACCCCCTTACTGTTAACCCCCTGCTGATTACCAGGCAACCAAGGCACCCTGCATTGGCTGTGTGGATGCTCAAAGAGAGTCATTACCACATCAGATAATTTGCCCTGAAGGCAACAGCACTATGGGTAGTGTTTGAAATCCGCATGCTTCCCCTTGGGAAAAAAGCGCCTAGACTAGTAGTTTTTGGATCACAGGTAAAGCCATATTCTGACATCAAGATTTCGACAGAGACTGATGAATCTCTGCAACGCGAATGAGCTCGGGAGTCTCTAGACTTTTGCTTCCCGAAATCCAAGTCAAAAGAATGAGCTGAAGCTAGAGGGAAATAATGTTTTTTTGTCGTCGTCTTTGTGTGCTTTTTTTTTATCCTCTTTCCCTTGTTGATAACCGTGGAAGACAAGGTTCGCGGCGGTCATACCCCGTCAATTCTGACCGTTGTTCCGCTATGCAATCAATGGCTTCTCCGACATATTGGAGCTACGTTGAGGGCGAAATATCGATGTACGACTATTGAAGATGGGCGGAGAATGATTGAATAATCATCGCTGATTATGCTACGAATGACCAAATAAGTTTTCCGAGGCAGACTCAACCAGGCGCAATCTTGCTCCGCGGAGCTTGAATTGGTTCACCACGGGCAACTGGTGCCCGGCCCCGCAATGCCCCGCTTCCCGCGGTAAACCAATCGAGACTTTGAACTCTTATCACGAGAATAAATACTCAAGGTCGAAGAAGGCTTGATTTATCCCGTGCAACTCATTGAGACACTTTGCGCCTTCTCATAGAACATTAGAGCATCGATACCACTCCCCTCGTCATGGCTTCCGAAAGCACCGCGGCCTTCTGGGCCAAGACCGACAAGTATTTGATGTCTACGGGCGTCCCATACTCACCCATCATCATCACCAAGGCCAAGGGAACCAAGTTGTACGACGCGGAGGGTCGCCAAATTTTGGACTTCACGTCCGGCCAAATGAGCTCGCTTTTGGGCCACTCCCACCCTGAAATCGTCGAAGTCGTCCAGAAGTATGTCGCTGAGCTGGACCACCTGCTCAGCAACATGATCACACAGCCGGTCGCTGATCTCGCTGAGAGACTCGGCAAGCTTCTTCCTGCGCCTCTTGAGAAGGTTCGTCGGCTCATCCTTCATATTTGTGATAGTCGCTGACTCAGGCCGTAGTCCTTTTTCCTCAACACCGGATCGGAGACGACGGAGGCCGCGATCAAGATGGCCAAGCTCCACACTGGCAAGTTCGAAATCGTCGCCATGTCCGCCAGCTACCACGGTCTCACATCCGGCTCCGGCTCCGCAACCTACTCCGCCGGCCGCAAGAACGGCGGCCCCGCCATGCCCGGCCAGCTCGCCTTCCCCGCACCCTACGCCTACCGCTCCATCTTTCGCAAGCCAGACGGATCTTATGACTGGGAGACCGAAATGGACTTTGGCTGGTCAATGATTGACAGGCAAAGCGTCGGATCCTTGGCTGCGTTCATCATGGAGCCTATTCTCTCCACCGGCGGCATCCTCGATCTTCCCAAGGGCTACTTGAGGCGCCTGCGCGACGAGTGCCACAAGCGCGGCATGCTTTTCATCCTCGACGAGGCGCAGACCGGTGTCGGACGTACAGGCCAGATGTTTGCCTTTGAGCACGACGATGCAGTCCCCGACATTCTCTGCTTGTCAAAGACTCTTGGGTGCGGTCTTCCGCTTGCCTCCGTCAGCACCACAGCGGAAGTCGCCCAGGGTTGCAAGAACGCAAATTTCCTGTGGCTCACAACGCATCTCAACGATCCCCTGACAGCTGCTGTTGGTAACAAGGTTCTCGAGATTGTCGTGCGCGACAACATCTGCCAGAAGGCCACTGAGCGGGGTGAGCAGCTCCGCGCGGGCTTGCTGAAGCTTCAGGAGAAGTACTGGTGCATTGGGGACGTCCGCGGTCGTGGCCTCTTGCAGGGTATTGAAATCATTTCAGACGCGAAGACGAAGGCTCCTGGGTCGGAATTGGGGCAGGCTGTCTCTGACAGAGCGATGGAGCTGGGTCTGTCATGCAACATTGTCAACTTGCCTGGAATGGGTGGCGTGTTCCGACTGGCACCCCCTGTGACTGTTTCACCAGAGGACATTGATGAGGGACTGAGGATATTGGACGAAGCGTTTGGATACGTTTTGAGCCAGCGTGCGTGATGAATAAGGTTACGGAGACTTCTTTTCGCGAAGCTCGTCGATCAGGTAGCATCAACCCACCACCATACCAATAATCCAAAATTCAAGACGACGTCAATAGTTACTGTATTGAAAGTGACTCTGAGTGGTGGTCAAGACTTAATATTGATGGACTCATGGATGAGTTGAAGGCATGAATTGTGGAGACTGCGTTCATGACCGCGCTGTCAACAATCTGTCTTTCAAGTCAGTCATTTGAACATACTATCGGGAAACCCGTGAAGTTGGGTGTCTTATACCTATTACAGAGAGGTAAAGAACCGATACAATCTTTAGCCCAGCTTAGATTGCTTCCACGTCGCTTGGTCGGCCATGGAGACCATCTGGTCGCAAGAAGTGGGCCCAACACCTCGTAGGGCTTGCAACCCTAGCAATGATCCATAATGTCAATTGTGACTATGTGGCTCAACAACAACCGGCGGCGGACATAGCTCAGTTGGGAGAGCGTCAGACTGAAGTTAACTTCATTCACTTAATCTGAAGGTCGTGTGTTCAATCCACACTGGCCGCATGGTATCTTTTTGGCACATTTTTGTTGCTTGTCCAACATCTCTATTTATCAATGGCTTGCTCCCTTTGCAATGTCCTCACCGTCCCGATCATACATGTTTAGGCAGGCACCTAGCTGAGCATGTCATGTTTCTTCCTTTCCTATGTTCTAGTTGTGTTGAATGTACTGGCCAGCGCACTACCTACTACGCCTTGCCTCCACTGCCACAAATATCGATCCACTTTTCAGTTTCCTTTTGCAATATCTCTATGCCGTCCTCAATCAGTTGCGTAAACGGCTTGTGTACGTTCTGCTTGAGATGGATGTTCCATGCCTCTAGTAGCAGCTTGTTCACGTTCAGCTTGATCGCGCCGTTTTCGATGCAGCGCTTCATGATTTCAGGAGAGAAGTCGTTCGTTCCGTGCAGTGCCATCAACACGCGTTTGTCGATTTGCTTGTTGACCTTGGCAAGTCTCTCATAATCCAGCTGGGGACCTTTAGGGCCGTAATCGCCGTGGATGTTGCCGATGCTGGGGGCCAAAAGGTCGATTTCGGCATTGATGAAGTCCTCCACCTCCTCGGGGCTAGTAAAAAGAGCTGCAAGAGCCAGTTAGCTAGCTGTTGCCTGTGAACTTGTAAGAATTCTGCGTCTCACCCTCAAGGTCACCGGTGTCCGCGATGCCATCCTCGCCGCCGTTGATGCGTCCGCTCTCGGCCTCAACCGCGATGCCGTGGTCATGGCAGACACGTGTGAGAACCTTCGTTTTGGCCAAATTCTCTTCGTGATCGTAGTGACTCATGTCGACCATGATAGAATCGAACGGCAAGTTGCCGGCAATTTCTCTGATCTGGTTCTCATCCTGGGCGTGGTCGAGGTGCAATGCGATCGGTACGCTGGATGACTTGATGGCTGCCGCTACGGCCCAAGCGAGAGTGGGGAGCTGCGTCACAGCTGAGGGGAACAGCAGAATCAGGATGGGGGATTTCTTTGCCTCGGCCGCTTTAACTACAGCAGTAAGCTGCTCGATGTTGTAGCTGGGCTATGATTAGACATTTTCAAGCTCTTATCAGACAACAACGAAGAGCTTACATGACGACACCGAGAACGCCATATTGCCCCTTGGTAGCAGCGTCGAGAATCTGCAGGGTGCGGTTTTGTGACTTTTTCTCGGACCAGGAAGCCATTTTCAAGATAATTAATGGATTGGATGTTGAGCTGCAATGCTACGATAGTCGTGTGCTATCTTAGGCAGGGGATATGAGCCTCTTATGTTCGAGCTTTTGTCATCGACGAGCTCCTCGCGTTTGCGAACTGCCCCGCGTCTCGAAGGACTCCGCGTCCGGCTTTCAAGCCGACCCCGTCATAGTGGGGTGAAAGATACGTACCTATCTCGCATCGAGGTCGGCCCTCACAATCCGAGCCTTCCATGTCACCGACTCCTCGATGCGAAGACACCGGAAGCCTCTCAACACACACTCAAGGCCAATTCTTGAAAATCTTAGTCTGGTCACTCATATAAACCTCTCATTGACCTTGGTCTCGGGTCTTCATCAATGTCTTCCTGTCATGGAATACAATTTCCCACATCATCGGCATTCTCGCCGATCATGTTCGGAGTTCCGGGGGAGCACGCCGAAAGGCCCAGGTTACAGTGGATGGTCGTGTCTAGAGACCACACAAACTCACAGCTCATCACGCTTGTCAATCGCTCTTTGAACAAGACTGTATTACCGTACTCCGCCAGTTCCTGTCTGGATTATTTACTAGATTACAGTTGTGGTAATATGTGATGGCGACTCGACGCCCTTAAAAGAACAATTTATGATTAATACCCACCTCCCTCTGACTCCGTTGTGGAGTCCTCCATCCACAGGCTCAGGGCAGTTCGTGGCGGTTGGCAAGGTCGTCAGTCGGTACCTCATGAACTGGATCCTCGTATGGCGCCTCGAATACTTGGTTCGCTTCTGCTTCAGCCGCCCGTTGACTCTCCATGTAGTTCGGGGGCTTTGGGCTATAAGCGCGTTCGCGCTCGACTTCTTGGTACTGCGGTTCTTGGTCTGTGACAACGTTCTTGGGGGATCTCCTCTTTCTCCACAACAAAGCCGCAGTCCCCGCCAGAGCGATGCCGCCGATAGCAGCCCCGATACCGATGCCGGCTGCCGCGCTTGACGAGAGACCGGCGCGTGAAATATCTCCGTTGGGTCCGATAGGGCCGTTAGGGCCCGTGGGAAATCCAGGTATCGGCGGGAAGAAAGTTGGCTGCAAGAATTAGCGAGGTCCTTCGTCACCCACTGCTTGAAGCTGCGCGAAGGAACACAGCTTACCTCCGACTGGTAAACGGTTGAGTAAACACGGTTGTTGACAGGCCTATCGCTTGTCATAATCCATCTTTGAGCAGAACTAGAACTGTTGTTGTCGCCGGTCCCTTCAACTTTGCTCGCCATAAATAGATTGGAGCCTTGATGGACATCGAGGACACGGCCGGTCCCGTTTGCAGCGTTGAGAAAGTCGTATGTGCCGTCTCCCCTGTCGACAATGTCCCATAGCTGAGGGTCTTCCGCGTTCGTCCTTCGCATGCATCCAACTGTCTTTCCATCATCTGTTTCATCGGAGTCCCAACACACAGAGAGCTGTTGTCGCACGCTTGTTGCATTCATCCTCATCACATATCGCCCCTTCTTGGACTCCACCGGCTCGAACTGCCACGCCATGAAGCGCTTCTCATCGCATGAAGATACTCTTGGGCCATCTCTTGTGAGTTGCAGACAGGAATCGATGGGCTGGGAGACGTTGACGTAGCGTTGTGAAGTGACGATATACCACGCATTCGAGTCTAGGTCCGCGGCCGACATTTGCGCAGAGATTCAGAAGTGACAAGGGATATCGAAGATGGGTCAAACAAACTCTCGGCAAATCTTCATCTGAATCGGTGTGCGTCTGGTCAATAAGATTTTGAGTGATGCCCGAAAATGTCACCTCTCTAGAGGCCTTCAAGATTGAGCAATGTTGTTAAGTCGAGAAGAAACAGAAGTGATAGACGATGCGAAATTCGGAAGGGACATGGGGTACGGGCGAAATACTGTCATTCTAAGATTGGCGCTGTGACGCGCTGTCGAGTGGTTGAACCCCATACACAGACCGAATGAACGGCCTTTTGACCCTCTTCACCTACGTACGTCTCTGGTCAACGGAGAAAACCCGCTTGGCTGCAGCTGCGCACAGATACATCAACGGCCGAAGATGCGACGACTCCTGGTATCCCATACGGCAAACTTGCCCCGGAGGATTTCTGCCGAGGTCTTGGTTTTGTCAATGCGAGAAGCACTTCGTAGCTGCTTTCAGGTCACATAGCTCACCACTTTCGCCTTCCAAACCCTCATCGATCCGGCACGGAGCCGGGAAGATTGGACGAAACCGCTGAGATAAGGTGGCAACGTAAGAGAGTGAACGAGATGAACTGCGGTTCTGGCGCATGTCTAGCCCGTAAGTCCGGGGTATTTTCAGACGTAAAGAATATGTATCAAGGTTGAGGATACCTTATACTGCTAAGAGATCGTTTTTTGTGGATACGAATTGAATGCGCTGTCCACGGGTATCACTATATTTAATCAAAGTTGTTGCTGAACTGCTGCCATGTTGTTGGAAGGTAAGTCAAAGTCATCATAATCTTGCCCGACTTAATCATTTTAATTATCGGCCATTGCGTATATGAATCGTTTTGGGTTGACTCGATTTTGCTCTCGCTCTCTGGCACTGCGCAAGAGCCTAATGTTTTTTTTTCAATTGGTGTCGGTTTCAAGAACCACGCCTTGAATTGCTCCGTTGTGAACTATTGAGCTATGACGGTGCGATTTTCTGTCAAAATGAAGAAACCAACAAATTGCCACTTGGGTAATTCCAACGTGAGGAAAGACAGATATTTAATCGGATTGCGGAACGACTTGCAAACCGCAGCTCAGCCTGACATCTGCAGCAAGTCACCCATCCACATTGCGTGTGACACGAGGTGACTTGCAGACGGATCGGCGACGCTAGATCCTCTTGGTCAGCTTCGGCCCGTCACCTGGTCAATAAAGCCACCAAAAATGCGACGGCGGCTGTGACTAAGATGGGTGTCTCCCGTTAGCCTCAATCAGCACCAACTGAAAGGGCGGGTGAGGCGTTTCCATTGTCCGCAGTCGTACAACGCGAAACTAAGACGGCAGTGTCTGAATTGAATCGCGAGCTTTCAAAGAGTCTCAGTCGCTGTTCTCCTATTGAGGAAGCTGGAAGTCTTCGGTCTCACGCAGTTGAGAGTTGATCGGCACTTTTGCCGAGCCTTCACAGGCACACATCTCACTAAAAACGCCTAACTGGTGGTCAACCTGCAGGCGAAGCTACCGGGGTTGGTCGCCCTGTTGGTCGATTGAGGTGCATAAGCAATAGGCGGCTGGCTGATGCCTACGCGACCGATGACCAAAATGGACCGGGGTGTTCATCAGCTCTGGGCCGGCCATATCCGCTACAGGCGTAATTTCGTGACAGGCTTCAGCCTCTTCATTTTCTTGCTTATCCTCTCCTGCGACATATTGCGACGAGATAGATGTTCTGAAGAAACCAATGCATCATGGAGCCGTCAAAAGATTGGACACATGAGACGGAAATTGCGGCCCTAGATGAGGTCGCATCCGCTGTAGACGACAGCCCGGATCGCGTCCGACCACGCGACTCTACCCTACACCAGACGTCAGAGGAGACACATTATGAACAACCGGAAACGCCACGACCGCACAGCGGATCCTCGCACTGGGACCCGAGTCCTGGCTTCGCACATATCGATGGCGATGTAAATGGACCTGGTTACAATGATACCTTGGTTGACATTGTTTGCGTTCCGTGTCCCGGCGCCGATCCCGTCGAGACTTGGGCCCGCGACCCACTTCCGGAGGGATATTTCGGGAGACCCGGTGAGGATTTGCCGCCCACTGCCGTGAAGCAGCTTGCCGGGGCGAGCATACTATCTCCGACGATCAATCGACAT